AGGTTTGGCTGTGAAATTGATCAGACAGCACATCCCCAAAAAGGGTCCTGTTTCCACCCTCTCCATTGCTTTTATAAACATCCAGCTCCATTGACCTTCATAGTAATAATTATGGCTTGCACCTGGGTAAATGACAAAAGCATAAGCTCTGTCATTGGTTTTAATTGATTCCTCTTTTACTGCCTTTTGTAATTAATGCCAAGAACGCTGTCACAGAACCTGTGCCCAAGGCTTCCATGGATAAGGCCCTGCCCATGGAGCTCCCCTGCTGGGTGTAAATCAGAGAAACAGAGAAATCAAAGGAAAAATTGCCCATAGTGACACAGCAAAGGAACACAAACTGGGTCTTCTGATTCCCATGGTGTCTTACCCTGACTTGGAAAACACCTGCAGAAAGTTGGAAAGGGCTCAGAGCTGTGAGGTCTGGAGATGCTGCCCTGGGAGGGAGGTTTCTGCACACAAAGGGTCTTTTGTCTGATAACAGAAGCAAAGTGATAGTCCACAGTGTGGAATGGAAGTTGGAAGAATTCTGACTAGAAAATGGAGCTGTGTTCCCTCAGGGGGAGGTGAAAGGGCTCAGCTGGAGGCATGGAGATCTTCCATTGCTTGGCGCAGTTAACTCAGAGCCAAGAGCCTTTCCAAAAGAAGCTTCCTGGCTCCTCCACACATTGCAGATGAGATGTCACTGTGTGATAGATTTTCACCTTATCTTTCTGTAGGAATTGCCTAGGGATCCCACCTACAGCAACTGGGGCTGAATTTCTCCATTGAAGTCAACACAAAGGAAGGCAAAAACGGTTGTTTCTTGGGAAATTGGCCCAATCCAGAAGATGGACACTATGGGTGGAGACAGCTGGACAGAGATGTTCCCTGCCATACATCCAGCCTGCCAGTGGCTTCTCATTGCCATTTTTCTTCCCTTAAAAAGTGAAAATATTTTGGGAAAGTAGCTCCTTTTTGCTGCAAGTTTATCCAACATATCATCCAAAGTGGCTTCGGGCCACTATCAGACACAGCTCCAAAACAGTGCATCTAAATGAACGCATTTCCTCCTGCTTCATTACCAACTTCTGAGACTTCCCTGGTGAGGATCCCAGCTCAGCTGAGCTCAATTTCCATGGGGAGAGGCACAGGAGAGACAGACGTGCTCCTTTAAGGCAGGGCTCCACGCACCTCGGGCAGAGCATCGCCGGAACGTGATGCGGCAGTTGCTAAGGTAACAGCACCAACATATTTTTTCATGAATAGCAAAGCAAATTGTCATGGAAGAGTAAAACCCACACGCGTTGCCAGGATATGTGTTCTGTTGCCCCAGGGTTACAAGTATTTACAGGCTGTTTTATTTTTTTTTCTCTCCCATCTTGAAGAACGCTCCTGTGTGTGCCCATGTACTGCTGATGTCCAGGAACACCTCGGTTGCAGCTGCCTTTGTTCACTTCCAACACAGGCATAAAACAGAGGTGGTGCATTTGGCCAAAGCATTTGGCAGAGGACTTCATTTGGGTCTTCCAAAATGCCCCCACGTATGATTCTTTGCTTCACTCCTTGGCTGACCTTGGTTTATGCCTCCTAATTGTATTAGGCTGCTGATTCGGGGTCAGCAAGGCTGCGTCCCACGTGTTTTACTTGCTGTGTTAGCATTAGGGGTTCAAAATGCACCCGAAGGACTGAGGAAAGAAAAACAAGATGCATGTATGGATCTGAAAAGACGGCTTGCTTTTTTCTAAGTTTTAGAAAACAGCTCTCATTCTCTGCAGCCCTTCACCTCCCAGCTCAGCAGCAGGTGGAGGAGCAGACTGCCAGACTTCAATCCATCACCTAATGCTTTGGGGAGACCAAGTGAGAACAGGTCAGCAACCAGCAGTGCACATCAGGAATGGCGAGAACCAGCCTCTTGCATTAGAAACCAGAAATAAAACAGCAGCTGAAGAACTGTGGAAGTGCAGAAGATGAATAGGAAGGGAGCTGGAACAGAGCACTGTGTGGTTGCAGGATTTTCCTTCAACACAAGCCATGGGGAACTTCCTCGTTAAAACAATATGGGTAACAGGTTCCTCAGCTCTCTGCTGTTTTGGTGAGATGAGCCCATCCCCATTGCTGCAGCAATCTGGGATGACCCTGAGGCACAGCTCTCAGCTGCACTGCCCCAGGCACTGTGGGCTTGGTTACAGCTCTCTCCCTGCAATTCCTGTAAACAGCACACAGACCTTTTGCTTTTGTGCCCTGTGAATTCCTGGAGCCTTTACAGGTGTATCCAACATTTCCAGGTGGTAGCACAGCTAGTTCCACTGGAGGCATTGCCTTGCCCTTTGTTTTTGGTATGTTGTATTTTTAACTCATCAGATGCTTCTATCCAAGCCTCACAGTTGGAAATTTTGTTTTAAAGAGCAGAACAATGCCTTTTCTGGTCTGAAAATAATTCAAGGACTTGAGCAAGAAGGATAAAACCTCAGCCAGGCCACGCACTGTGCAAACATCCCTTCCTTCCTGGCACTGAACAACGGCTTTGCGTTTCTTCTTTTGTGCCTAATAGATTCTCTTCAAAAGAAAAGCAAATCCTCCTTAGCTGATTCCAAAGGGTTGAACTCATCCTACAATCAATGCTTGCTGGCTACAAATTCCTTAGCTGTCCCAGCCAGGCAAAACCCCCTCCCAGCATGGTTTCAGTGTTTCAGGCACCTGAAGAGAACCCAAACTTTCTACCATGTTATTGTATCAACAGGTGGGGTCAACAGGAGGGTAACGGCAAACATCAGAGTCTCATTGAGCACGATTCACACTGGGAGGATTGCCTCGTGCAGCTCAGCCTGATTGCTTCAAAATAGCACAGGATTGTGTGAGCTTCTTGAGAAGCCACTTGCTCTGTGAGAGCTTTCAGGGAGAAAAAGAGTGGCTGGGAAGGGTTGGAGTCACACTGCTGTGCAAAGTTTACCTCTTCCCATTCATCTGCAGCATGTGGATCACAGACCAAATGCTATTATGGGGCTTCCAAGTGCCCTCCTGCACCTTCCATGGAGGGAAGGCAGTGCTTGCTGCTGCCCAGGGCTCTGCTTGCTCAGGTGTTTTGTAGCTAATGGGAAGAAACCTCATTAAGGAACACAGATAAATAGGAAAAAAAAAAAGAAAAAAGAAAAAGAAAGAAAAACAATGCACTCCTGAAGCAATATTGACTCACTGGGGGGGAAGTGCAGACAACAGCTTATGTCGCTAAAAAGACCCGGGTTTGTGCTGCTTTGGGTTCAGCATTTTAGCCAACTGTTAGGAACTTCAGAGTAAATCTCAGCATTTCCCAGGGCCCAGATTGCACATTGGACCATATACCCTGAAATGTTTTTATTTAATTTGAGTCCACATTATGCTGCCTACATATGGTGACACACACATTTCATTTTATGTAGCAGATGCTGCTTTGCTATTGAGAATGTAATATACTGAGTATATTATAGTATCATTTGGTTTAGGGTAACGGCAGTGTTTCTTAATTCTGATTAGCCTTAATTTTAAACCTGATTTCCTAAGGAAATGAAGCTTACGAGATCCTGTTCTCTATGCATGTGGTGCGTGATGTGCATCCCTCTCTCGTCCATCGTTCTCCCATTCCTTTTGAGTTCACCCACCATCCTCGAAGCAGAGTGGGAAAACCTGGGTTGTTTCCCCTAACTCTGCACAAAAAGACTTCACAGGGGAGATGGAGTTTACCAGCCAGGCACAGGAGTCCTGGGGAACTCAGCTGACAGAGCACTTTCCCCTAAATCGTAAGCATGTATAAAAATCAAGGAGCTGAGGGTAATGAGGCCACACTCCCATAGCACCCAGAAAGAGGGATCAGTCAGACTGAATTGTGCTGCTCTGCACAGAGTCAAAAGCTCATCTCGGTCTTAATTAGAAGCTAATTAAAAACTGCAAGTGATTTTCTCTTTGCTGCTCTCTCTGCTGGCCCAAAGGTTGAGCTGCAGACATTGGATTCCCACTCTGACAGCATTCACATTGCTGCAGGGCAGCCCCAGAGTGAACACCAAACACGGTGCAACTTGGCAACAGCTCCAGCTCCATCCTGCTGCTTGTGTCCGACTCATCTGCTCCCATTTTCAGATGTTTTCCTCAGAATTCACACTTGGGTTGGCTGAGATCTTTTTAGAGGCAGCAGGGCACAGCTGTGATTGAATTGCACCATGACAGCCAGACGGCATTTTTAATGCAGCCAGTATTGGTAGTATTCTGTAATTCTCTGTCACTTCCCAGCAAAATATCCTGTTTAGCATGTTAAAATAGCACCCGTTCACCCTAGGAGCTGCACGGCCCCACACGCGTGAACTCTGTCTTGTTACAGCACCAATTCTGCCAAGAAGGGCCATAAACAGCACTTAGTGATGCATAATATATGAAAATGGCTCATGCTGAGCTTTTAGATGCAGAAGGATTTTTTTTCTCTTAATACTATTACAAGATTCTCCTTCAGCCATTGAAGCACCGCCATAAATATTTAAAAGCTTGTTTGAAATACCCAGTCAGCGCAGAGTGAATATTTATGGCCCCCAACACCCTAACCTTTAGATTTAGGGTACGGCATACATAAACCAGCCTCATTAAACCATACACCACAGGTCAGCCTGGGGATCAGATCAGCACTTCCAAGCTCCTTCTGAACATCTAGCGTCGCCAAGATTCCCAAACAGCGCAACAAACAGAGGCTGTGGTTGGACCCGGATGACTGCCCACCGTTGGGGGCAGCACAGAGATGAGCAGAGCACGGATCTGCCTCCTTTTATTCCCTTCTCTTAGGGACGCCGCCAACCCAAAGTTGGCCCAAAGGACGAAACGGCAGCGAACGGCCCGGCGCTGGCCGTGGTGCTGAACGCAGAGAGCAAACGCAGCGTCGGCCGTTCCCAGAGGAGCCGCCCGTGGGTCCGGCTGCTCTCTGCTCCCTTGGATTTGTCCCTCTGTACTGCTAAATCCCCAGTGACACAGAGCTGGAGGCGTACAGCCGACTTTGGACCTCACTGCCTTCATTCAGGTTTTGCTAGCAGACCTGCTGTAGTTATATACTTCAATCAGAGATTTTCGAAACCTCTCCATGTATCGCAGCTGGTGCATCTTTTCCTTTTTTTGTTCAGTTTCTGGAGAATTATGACTCACACTCAGCGTTTTCAACCTAAAGCCTTGCATTTCTCCTGCACGCTCAGCCCAGATCTCTCCTCCCCCAAAGGCTGCTCAGGATGGGACTGAGACTAGAAGCAGCCAGCATCCAGGGAAGGGACTGCACAACAACTTCACACTTCTCATAATATGGCCTTAAGAGCATAAAGGCCCTTCAGATCAGCACGTACTCAGGTTTTTGAAATGTTCCACTGATTATAGTTGCATATTTAAAGCAAGTAAACACTGAGAAAATAAATGCAAACGGTTTGAGCGTGGTAAGCAGTGACCTGCAGGACCCAAAGGGTGGCACCTAGAGAAATCCTATTTGAGTTGCTGAAAAAGGCAAATGGTATCAATGTTATATCTGCCCAACATCGCTCAGGGACATAGCAGGTGTGCTGGGCAGCCCTGGATTGCCACTGTGTGTTGATGGGGCCAAAAATGTGACCTATAGAAAGTCACTGGGTATTGATATCCATAATTCACAGATGCTCCTGGCAAGAACTCACAGAACGCTGTTAGCAGCTCTGCCCCGATGAAGGTGAGGGAAATCTGGCAGTGGTGAAGTGAACAAGTGTTTAAGTTTCTGGCAGTTTATGCTCCAGTTGGACCATGTGGCCAGAGTCCATGTGTTAAATAACCCAAACCCAGCACCAGTGAGCAAGGAGCAAGGCTAAAGTGCCACTTAAAGCTTAATAGGGTTGGTAACAATTGCTGGTTACTCAGTTTGGGCAGCCACACTTAACACTTATCGCAACAGGACGTCAGATGAGCACCACTCAGCTGCCTCTTGCCACCCTGGGGGGAGAACTGCTGTAGGGAGCATTTGCAGCTGGGTTTTGTGTGTGCTGCCATGCTTCCAAGCACAATTTTCCCATCTAGCTAGTGGTAATCAACACAGTGAAGGTACTTCTCTTGCCTTGCTGATGATGGGCTTGCTATGTTTCACACCCTCTTCTGGGAGATGTTCCTGGTCCCCTGCCCTATCATTGCCCTAATTGCCCTGCTACCAGTAAATACCTTCCAGGCATATGCCTCAGATGATCCGTGGGAATTGAACTTTTTTTTTTTTCCCCTGATATTTCTAGCTTTGTTAGTTGGAATTGATTCTGCTTCTATGTTAACTGGAAAATAAACAAAACCCCAGCCAAGCTGGCTGCATGCCTATTGCTGGGAACCTGCTGAAAAAGATGAAAGATCCAATATTGCAATTAATAGGTCCACAGGGGTGCTTTGAGAAGTGCTCCAGTGTCCTCACATTGCCATAACGCTTTGCAATGCCCTCAGTGCTCCCTTCCAGACCCAAACAAAAGCTGCTGCAGATAATCCCTGCACTACCCAGGCTTGCTCCCTGTTGGGAACCACACGGATCTGCCTTTCTCCTCCTGTTAGTGTCCTCCCAAGGCTGCTGACAGCCTGCAGAGTCACAAGGGAAAGTATGGACATCTTTTCCTACTCTCTCTGTCTAGGTTCCTTGTTTCCTGTAGCTTGGGGAGTCAGAATAAAAGTAATACTCATTTCTTCCTACATAATGGTTGAGAAGTGCTCAGACGGGCAGTTACACTGATCACAAAAGGCTTTTATGGGTGGTGGAAGGACTCAGGCGTACAGAAATGAGTGCTGGCTCTGTGGAGTTAAGACTTTTTGGGATCCAGCTCCCATTTGTGGTAGCAAAAGCAAGGGAAAAAATTGAATCTGTGAATTTAGACCTATTGATGTTCCAGAAGAATCTCTCCTCCTCTTCTTCCCAGCTCCTTCCTTCCCTGCTTCTGGGAGCCTCTTCTTTGCAGAGGGAAAGGTTTTCTCAAAGACATCCAAAGGAATACCCAAGGAGCCTTGGGAGCCTCTCTGGCTGCTCTGGATTCGTGCTTTCCATGCTCCAAATCCTGAGTTTTCAGTGCCTGCATAGGAAATGGCAAGGAGCTGATGGAGTGAAACCATTTGCAGGAAGGCAGAAGGTTATGTGCATCAGAGCCAACCCTTATGGGTGTTTGACTAGCAGCTGTTCGTAAGCACTCAGCACATTAACAAGGCTGCCGCCACTTATTATGCAATGATCATTTTAAACCCTCTCCTTTTATTCCTCTCACTCCACGAGAACCCAAATGGAGCAATAAAACTCCCACCTGAGGGGGACAACTAATTACCTTTACCATTTGTCCCTGAGCCTGCTGCTCTCACTGCTGGGAAGCCAGCACCCAGGGCTTTGACTGTGCTCCATAGGGTGATCAGCACAGGGACACCCCACATCTGCTGCCTCTCAGGGTGGCAAAACCTCAATGCAGGGCTGAGGGGGACAGTTTAGAGCAATCCCATCCATATCCCTGGACAAAACATCTCTGGATTGAAACCAGCCCCGCTTTGCTTCTCTGTCCTTGGGGGATTCCAGACTCACGCTGTGCGAGGGAAGTTAAACTGTTGTTTGCACTGGCTGAAAGGCTCTCTGATAGCAGTGTTTTTTAAAAATTAAATGCTTGTGTCCAATTGTATTTGCATTGTATAATGTCCTTCCCCAATGCAATCACTTCAAATCACTGTTCTTCAAATCCTCAGGGACGTCTGCAGTGAGCAGAGGGCCCAGGTCAAGTATAAACCTTCTGGTTTATTTGGGAATGTGTGTGTCAGTGTTACCACTGCATTAATGAACCATGTAAATCACAGCCAGTTGTTAAATAACAGACAGGAGGAGGAGGGGAAGGCAGAAAGGATTTCGTACCTCTTACAAGGAGAGTTTTGCAACGACAAGAAAAATCTGTGTCAGTGTTGCAACTCGCCAGCTTGGAGGACATAAGTTTCCCATCCAAATATTGCTTCTTCAGAGGCTCTTGCTGCTCCCAGGAGATTCTGCAGAAATTTGTAAAGCCCAACATTAGCATGCTTTTAGATGGGTATTGCAGAAGGATAATGTGAATGGAAATTTCAGATGATTAAGAAAAAAAAGAGATGCAAGCTGCTTGTTTTCTTCTTTAAGCTGCATTGGGATGCAAGGGTCAGAGTGACATCCATCACCGACTCCCAAACTCACAGCCATGTCCCTGGTTTGTCAATCACCCTTTGGTTTGCACGTGAACAAACCTGCTGAGAGTGGATCTCTTATTTCCATGTAATACACAGCTATTACTTCAATATTAAAGGAAAATACAAGGGGAAGCTGGACCACCAGGCACGTTGCTTGGCTGCAATTGTGAATCTTCACTGCTGCAGATGCACAAGATCTTTGTACAGCTCAAATCTGCTCCTATTCCTGCTCCCTTCCCTGAGAACACAAGCCAGGTCTGTGTAAGGCAGAACTGTTATTTCAGTTACCATTCTCCTAAGTCATCTTCACTTAGGAGATAGTGAAGGAGGGAGCAGTAAATGCAGGAGAAGCACTGGGGCAACAGCAGAACTAAGCTTGCTGGGAACTTTCAAATTCATCATTCCTTTCCTACAACAGATGAATTGTATCATAGGAAGGAGGAGAGAAAATACAGGAACTGCAAGAGTGCTTTTGCTATTTTGCCCCTTGATGCTGCTGGTACACCAGCCTCCTATAGAGAGCAGCAACCCTGGTTTGGAGCCTGAGGGAGCCATGACTTGGGCTGCCCTAACTGCCTTCACCCTGTTCATTCACCCAGAGCCCTATCTATTCCACTTAGCATCCCTCTATCCACACAAACTCACTGCACAAACCCAATCCATTTCCATCTCTGCTGGCCCACAGTGCACAGCACTGCTGCACGTTTTTCTTCCTATTCCAAAGTTGACACTTGCAAATACATGCATTTATACCATTTATACATCATACCATCTACTGCTGAGGTGTTTGGTTTTTTTAAACCAAGCTAGACTGAAACAGATACTCATTTTTCTATCTAATAGTGAGATGCCATCAATGCCTCAAGTTGCACATTTTGCATCTGCAGGAGCCAAGTAGTTATATGCTGTAATGATGAACCATCAGCTGAGACGTTGCAGAGTGACAGGGACATTCTGCATTTTACAGCTGTTTGAAAACAGTCCCTGGTCAATAAGCACTGATTTTCTCAGGAGGAGGAGACCCGGTTTGCAACTGATATATTCAGGGAAACAGCAAGCTTGGAGCTGGTGCAACACTGGGCAGCAGCACAGGGTGAGATGTCACTGTGTTGGAAATTGCCAACAATCTGTTCCATTGATCTTCCCCTAGATGTGTCTCACTGAGAACTGGAGCTGGAGAAGTGTAATAATAACAGGATTTTCTATTTTCTCCACTAAGATTAGCAGCTCTGGAGCTCTGTTACCTTACTCCTCCTCCATGATTTAGTTTTAGCTTTTTTGCAGCAGTTGATGTTGTATAATAATCCAGAGTAGGGATCATCCTCCATCCCCGAGCATGCAGGTGGCAGAGGGATGTCACCCAAGGGTTCTCTGCCTGTGCAGGCTGAACCCAACCAGCTGGGCACGAACAACAAAGCTGGATGAGACCCAATGTTTTCACTGCCTGAGCAATTCCAACACTTGCAACCAAGCAACAGCAAGGAAGCTTTCCTCAAAAAAACCCTCAAAGCTCCTCTGCTACCTCCATTTCCAAGGGGCTCAGCCCCATATTCCACTGAGAGAAGCATTGGACCCTGGGTCCACTCTTAGCAGAACGGCTGAATTTGTTGATGAGCTCTTTCCAAAAATGCAAAGTTTATTAAATCCAAGAGTAAGGAGGAGATGTTTTGAAATGCTTGATAAGAAACCGGTTTCCTCTAGGCTGGCAAGGCTTCCCTTCATTTTCACCCTCTGTGGAAGATTTTAGAGTAGTAAGGATATTAAATACGTCCATGTAATGCAGCCTCAGACAGCAAAAAGGATTAAAACTCGACTCCAGAAAAGGAAAGGAAGTCAGATTACTCGTCAAAATTAAATTTGCTTTTCGATGCCATTACTTCCTACATTAAAAAGCTCTGGGGATTAAGAGATAAAGAAGCTAAATCCAATCTGGAGACAGGCTCAGAGGGAAATGTCAGCCAGCCGGTAATCCCAGCTCTTTTCTTTAATAGGATCCTCCCAGAGTAAGAGAACGTGAGAACAATTATTTAATTCCATTCTGAATCCTACTTTTCTTATCCACCTGGCTCAGCATCACTGTTACAGTGGTAAATCAACCTGTGGCCCGGACCTCACAGCTCCCCACACGTTGTGCTTTCCCATCTGTGGGGTTATTTTTTGTGTATTTTGGTTTGTTTTTAAGAGTAATAAATAAAACACACAGTACAATGAAGAAGATAAAGTCACAGCCATAGAGAACAAATCGCAGTGTGCCCCAGCATCCCAGCAGCAATAAGCCAGTAACCATGGTTGCACCATTCTCTGCAAAGACATCTATTCACACAGACACACATGCATTGACTCAGAGAATGACTTAATTCTTCAACACGATACAAAAGATGGGAAAATCTCTACACTACCCAAATCACCAATTGATTCACAGTGAAGATTCCTTTAAACCAAGCACCAGGCAAAGGTCTTCAGCTACTACTACAGATTGACATCAGCAGCCAGTAAACACCAGAATGCTTTACAGCCTAATGAGAACCCTACAGCAAAGGTAGCAAAGCACATATTGTTAAGGGATGTAGTGGATGCCCCATCCCTGGAGACGTCTGAGGCTAAGGAACAGCACTCTGAGCACCTGGTGAAGCTGTGGGGTCCCTGTTCATTCCAGGGAGTGGGACCAGATGACCTTTAAGGGTTCCTTCCAAGCCAAACCATTCTATGACTCTCACACAAGCAAAGGGCAGATGCTCTAATTACCAAAGACAGAGAAAACATGGCTATTGAGGAGGGTCTTGTTTAATAAAGACCCTGATTACTCCTAGAGTTCAAGAGATGGGCAAAAAACAAATACCCAATAAGAGTTTTACTCATAGTAAGAGAGATAGAGAAATCATGCACCAGAGTTCAACTGAATGCACGTGTAACACAATGGAAATGCAACAGTGACAGCAAAGCAGAAAAATCCCAAGCTACAGTGAGCAGGGATCCACTCAAATACAACAGCCATTAACAGAAATAGCAAGGAATGAAACTACTCACCTTCAGAAGGCCTTAAATATGCAAGGATCTCTAGAGAAGCTTCTTTGCCGCTGCTGCCAACACTTAAATGAGACCTGGGTAGGGGTGGATCCTGGCTCCAGCCCTTCAAGTCACTCAGTGCATTGCACACACCTGAGCTCCTCTGGGTTGGCCCTGCCTTCCACCAGGTGCTCAATCACAGCTTCAAGCAGTGACTTAACATTTTCACTACAATATGTGAGAAACTGTGGGTCAAAAACTATTCATCTGGAGATTCTCTTCTTCTCTGAAAAAGAATAAATAAATTATATATTATATTAAAAAAAAAGAAAGAAACAACACAAAAACCAGCCATTGAAAGAAGTGATGGTGCTCCACCAGGAAGGAGAAAAGCAAAGACTGTACCGAAGCCCAGTAACTTCTGTTACTTCCTACTGGGATGTCATAGGGGTCAGCAGGAGCAGGGCTGACAGCTTCCACCTGGCCTTGAACATCAGCACTGCCAGACCCTGGGGACCCCCAGCACCTCCCATCCACAATCAAAGGCTCGTCTGTATCCTTCACATCACCAGACCCCCCCACACACACATCAAAAGGACAACAGGGCCACTTGCAGCATCTTCAGATGCCAGAGCCCAGAGATATGATAATTTAAACAAATAACAAGGGGCAGTGAAGGGAATAAACTGCAGCAAGGCCAGCCAAGTGGATTCACTTTAAGGGCTTGTGGAGCTGGCAATGCAGGTTGCATAGCACAGGAAATGTTCTGGGTGACACCGTGCTCTGGGATGCCACAGCCAGCTGAACCACTGCCAGTCGTACCCAACAAAGCCAAGGCAGCCCTTCGTGCCTGATGCATGCTTATTTTTATTTTTAATTAAACTAGCTGTAGGGAAATATAACATTTTCCTTCAGTAATTCATCCCCACGGTTCCCCTGTTTTGTCATTTTAATTAAAGCCAGCCCCTGCCACAGTTCGGATGTTTGCAGTGATCAGTATTAAATCAAGCTCAAGCCTTAGGGACTGGTCCATTTTCTGGGTTTTGATTTTGGTTTTTTCTTTTGGGGGGCATTCACAGCCAAAAACAAACAAACAAACAAACAGGGTCTGGGGCTGAATGCCTGAAAAGGATAACACAGCTAGCATGGATCTCCCTGACACTGTCCCCATCCCACATGCAGCTCATGAGTCCAGTGGGCACAGAGAGAGAGCAGCACCATGCCCCAAATTTCAGCCTAGGCATTCCCATAGCTGAGCTGTATTTATTTTTTTTGCCCAGGTACCCTATTTCAATTTTTCTTTGGAGAATGACTCTTGGTTTTAATTGCTTCTCATTAAACCCGCTGTTACCCTTCACCTTGCATACACAGAGCAATAGACAATTGTCACTACTACAATATAAAGGAGACAAAGGGAGCTCAATTGCCCGCCCCAGACCTGGCTCTGGTCATCCTTCCCTCCCTAGCAATTGTGCTATTTTGCAGCTGGGACTTTCCTTAGTGCCCAGCCTGAACCTGCTTTTCTTCCAGGTTAAATAAGTTGCCCAGAGCTGCTTTGATCATTGTTGCTGTTTTAATCAGGAGTTGTAAGGTATTCAATGTTTTTGTTAAATGTACAGCTTCAGAGAGAGGTAGTTGCATGGGACTTGTGCATTTCACCTTAAATAAAGCTCTCGTTGTTAGCTCTTATAGTGTCAGAGCAAAGGTGGAAAAGCATGACCTATGAATCAGCTAATGGCTCAGAAACAGAGAAAGGAAGGAAAGACAAAAAGTACCCAGGAAAGGTTTGTTAAATCTTCTTTTTCTCTTTTTTTTCCCCTCATGGTTGAGTGCTTTTTCTGCACTCAATTCAGAGAATTCCCCAGTAGCACTCAGTGTTTTGGACAACCAGTGGAGCCCAGAAGCTCACCATTGCCATGTCTTGAATTTGGCTCCCAGCTGCAGGATTTGCACAGTGCCAGCGCTGACTGTGAGTCCCCCAATGTTTTCTGACTCTGAAAGGACCCCCAGGGGCAGAACCCACCCTGCAGCCCCCTGAGGAATCAGCTCGTTTTAAAGAACACCCCCAAACGTTTGGGGAGAGAAAGCAATGGAGACCAACCCCTCCATGCCCCTGACCCAGGGGGGAACGTGGGGCTGGGAGAATGCGGTTACCCAAGAAATAAAAATTGAAGGCACAAAAAAAAAAAAAAAAAAAAAAAAAAAAGAAGAAAAAAAAGAAAGAAAACATGCATGTGCTCGTGTACAAATAACAGAAGTCTCCCCCCGAGCTTTCCAATTGCTGTGACAGACGGGCACAGTGCAGGAGGATGCTTGGAGCTCCGCTGCGGCACGGAGGAGAGCGGTGGCCAAGGGGGGAAGTGAGAAGCGGGCAGTACTGCCAGCCCCGGCTGCTGAGCCTGAGCAGATGGAGGAACAGGAGGGAGCACTGCAGAGTGAGTCAAGATTGTGATTTTGCACAGGAGAAAACCGTTCTTCTTAAAAGCAGGGAAGAAAAAAAGAAATAAGATTATCTCATCTACAAGCCTTCAAGATCACGGCAGTCGCAAGCCTGCTACAAGTCAAAGCTATGGAAATGGGGAGTCACGCAGCCAGAAACAGGATTGCTGATTTTTATCTCTCATCCCATACACAGACAAAGGAGGAGAGCAGCTGCAGCCATTCTGTGCCCTGCTCAGGCTTAAACGAAGCACATGTGAGAGGCCACATCCAGTCACTGCCCACCTACCTCACCTTGACCCCTAGAAAATAGGATCACTGCACCAAAAAAAAGTTGAAATCTATTTACCAAGACCCCAGAGAAATAGCTACTGCCTCCAACTGCCAAACAAAGAAGAAAAAGAGAAGGAACAAAATAATTGCACTAGCCTAGAAATGCAGGAAAAACCCCAAATCCTTCTCCTTTCTTTTACCCAGGCTTCTACAGCCCCCTTTTTAATGACTCGGTACTTAATTAATAGTCATTATAGTTATTCATCACACCTGATTCAGGCTTGGCTATGACAAGCTGTGGGGGCTTTATTACAGAGGAATGTGATTTAACTCCTTCCCTACCCAGCACTTCTGAACTGCTCCCTGCTCTTCTCCTAGGATCTGATCAATGTTTTTATCACGAGCCATACATCTTCCTGTGTCCTTTGGCTACATCTCATCCACCTTCCCACAAGCCATGACAACAGTTGGGGCATTGGAGCCTGCAAAGCCAGGAAAACCCCATTAGAGTGATTTTCTGCTATACTATTTCCAGGAGCATCCAGTCCTAGAATCTCAGGGGGGAAAGCTGCTGCTAATGGGGAAGATGCAATATCTCCCTGGAGCCTCTGCTCCTCTGCACCCTGGGGTTGTGATCCTTGGCTTTGTGTGCACTCCTGAATGGAGCAGCAGAAATTTCAGTCCTGTAAAGCAAACTGCTCACCCCCAGGTGTGCTGTGACTGGGGCTGGGAGCAGGCACATGTGCGTGTCCATACCTGGAGTGCAGAGCTGGGAATGCTGTACTTTTGCAATGAAATACCCAGCACGGAGCAGTTCGCTGAGCTGCCATTCCTGGAGCTTCAGGGTGAAGGGCTGCACCACACACATCTGCACAGCTTTATGTGAGTGCTACAGAGATGCCTGAGAATAAATTAAATGCATCCAACTCCCTGTAGAATGATGAATCAATCTCATTTGCACATCTCACCCACAACTCTCAGAGTGCTGATGCCGAGAAAAAGTTCCTCCAAGATCCCTTTTTTTCTCCTTGGCTGTCCTCATAGACATACGCCTTCCCAACCTCCCCGAGGGTGGGCAGCCCTGTGCCAACACTGTGCTGGGAGTCCTGGTTACTTTCTCACCGGGACATCACTCCTCTCTGATCCTGTAATCTTCAGCCACCTCCAATCAGGAAGATATTTCAGTATCTTCCAGTCTACCACATTAATAGTGTGCTGTGACCCCCAAATCAGCTACTAAAACGACTTCTGCAGAGATTTCAACTGCGAGGACTCTGGGCTCCTATGTTTTATTACAAAGGAATCCGTTTTGCATTACAAAGGCCAGCAAAGAAACCCTTTTGTGCTGGGTCTGCAGCTCCCAGCCAGGCGCTAAGATGAGCCGTATGCTGAGCTGACTGAGAGACTAAAATATTAACGGCTCATCCCCCTTCTGCTGGCCACGTGGAAGTAATTGCCATGGAGTAAAACAGAGAAAAGATCCATTTATAGCTCTCAGAGAACATTTCTCCCTGAAGGAAGTTACCACTTCTCCACGGATGGGTAAGATTCAGCCTCCCAGCATACTCACGATGCTTCTTTTCTCCTTCCCTCCTCTTAGAATCAGCACATCTGCTGGGCAGACAGAAACGGGGGAGAAATGCTAAGGAATGGGAAGTGATGTGCATTGCAGATCTCCGGGGCAATGCAGCTCTCCATCACCCATCGACAGAAATCTGGAGATGGGAATGCTTGTGCCCCTAAGGAAGCAACTGAAGGTTAAAGCTTAGGCTCCTTTATTTAGGTCAAGTACATCTCCAGCATGGAGCTGCTCAGCCAGCAGCTGAGATGCCCACTGGAGTTGGGAGATAAGGAGATAACCGGGCACAGGGTGAGGGCTGCTGATGAGCAAGAGAGCCAGGCAGCCCAGCACCATGCAGTTCATGCTGCTTTCCACCATTCACAGGCAATGAATGAAAAAAGATGATGTTGTAGCAGCTTTACAGGCTTGGCTCACGGTACATAGTAGGAGGAAACCTTCAAACCCCAGTGCTCGTTATGAGCCATACATCCTTGGCTGTTGTGCGTAATAGTCTGTTCCTAATGAAGCTTGAACTGAAGCCAATGAAATTGTACAAATGTAAGGGAGAGGAAAACAACGAGCCTTGTGCTTCAAGTCTGCATTAAATCTTGCCTGCCGAATAAATGTTAAATATTACAGATCGTTTCACACCTGTGGGTGATGAGAGACAACAATGCTGAGCACAGCACCTGTTGTATTTCACGTTCAGGGCCGGCACACCACCAGTTTTAGAGGCATGTATTGGAAAACACATCTCTGCACATGCTGGTAGACATGATCTGCATAGGAGCCTGTTTTTCAAAGGTTTTACACAGTCTGCTGATCCACTGTAATGAGGAGGAGCCTTTACACAAAACCTCCAGTTTATGAATGTGCCATTTCTATGC